GGGGGGGGGGGGGGAACCCAAGCCCGTACTGATTACAATAAACCTCTCATTGAAAATCTTTCTGGAAGGCTCCAAGGTCCTGTTTCTGCCCTGACCAGATGACAAGTCAGGGGCCTTATTTGCTGACTGGCCATGCTTCTTTGGGACTTTGCTCCTCTCTGTGCAGAGCTGTGGCTGGAGGAGTTCGGGGACGAGGGCTTGGGCTGAGTGTGGCTAAAGCCTAGGATGTGCATGGGCACTGGACACCGCCCCTTGCCAGGCAATTGCTTTTCCTTCCACCCTGCGAGGACAGTCTGATTCACCGAGGGTTGTGGGTGTTGGCACCTGGCTGGGAGAGGCTGTGTGTTGAAGCTTCTTCATGTTCTTGGTGGCACTGTAACATGTCCTAGCTGTCATCTGTCAGGCTGCTCATTTCTCAGTGAACATAAGAGCTCTTGAGAGGCCTGATAATGTTCTGCTTCTCCAAGGCTCTACAGATTGGGATGTCCTGTTCTAGGTTAGGTCCTCCAAATCCCCCTTGAAGGGAAACAGTCAAGAGTATGGATTTCCTAGCAGTCCTTGTAGAGTCTCATCTGGAAGCCATCAGGGGCTCATGTGCAGTGGGATCAGAGCCACAGGGTCAGGCCCTCCGACCTCAAAGCTCTTGGATGGCTGTGAAAGCTGAATGGACACCTTGCAAAGGAGACAGCTGGTGTGGGGCCAGTCCTGCTTCCTGCCTCCTAATTTCTCCACACTGGCATTCCTAAAATGATGAAGCCTCTAGCAAAATACCCTGTCTCTGAGAGAGCAGCATGTGACCCTCAGGGCTTTGCCTTAACCCAGGATCTGCTGGTGAGGATCTGGGATGGACAAAGAGGAAGGGCCCTGGGACTGGGTGGTACAGACCCAGGAGGCCCATCCCCCTGCAGTTCCAGCACAAACTGCTCCCTCCTTTCCTTTCCTTCATCATCCACACTGGCTGCTTCCTTCTAGAAGGGCTCCTTGGGCAGCTGTGCCTGGAACAGTCTACATTCTAAGGCATTCTTTGCAGATTGGTCAGGAGAAACACCTGCAGACAGACTGCTTGGATCAAATCCTGCCTCTACAACAACCTATTTACCTGACTGTGCCTCAGTTTCCTCACATCTAAAATGGGAATAATCATAGTACCCTCCTTAGAAGGTTGCTATGCTTACATGCATAAGGTGCTGAGAACAGTGCCTGGCACGTAGTAAGCCCTATAAAATGTTAACTTTTGAGAAATTAATGAGGGATTAAAAAAAATCTTTATTATGTTACGTCTTTAGAGACATGTTAGAGTTCTTATTTATTCAGGGCCTTGTTTCACCCATTTGTGTTTTGTGTTTTTCATTGCATAAGGCTTGTGCGGGCCTTGCTAGACTCACCTGGGATTTGCAAGATTAATGCATGGTCTTCTGAGTGGTCTCTGTGCTGTTGCCCCTGTTGGTGGCACTGTAACATGTCCTAGCTGTTATCTGTTAGGCTCCTGGCCCTTTTTACCCTCTGTCTCCCACAGAGCAGCAGAGCCATCCTTGAAACTCACTTCAAACCACAGCATTCGTCTCTCCAAAGCTCGTCAGTGGCTTCCCATCTCAGGATAAAATCTGAAGTCCTCAGTACACCCAGCCCTTCCATACACGATCTGGCCTTTGACTGCATGTATGGCCACACCTCCTACCACTTTCTTCCTGGCTTATCTCCCTTTAGCCCACACACTGGCTGTCTCAGGACCTTTGTGCGTGCTGCCCCCTTAGCTGGAATGCCATCCTCCAGACACCCTCAGATATGATCGCTGCTGAAATGTCACCACATCACAGAGGTCCCCCCCGACCCTCTCTAATTAGCATCTTTTCCTCCCACCACTCTGTCCTCGTATCCTGTTTATATTTCTTTATAGCACTTTTCACCACCTGACCTGTTACGTTCACATTTGTCTCCCCGTGTCTCGTCAGCCTCCCACACCAGATTGTAAGTTTCATGGGGACAGAGGCTCTGCTGCTCCATCCCTGGTGCCTCCATTGGTCCGCAGCACATATTAGGTGTTTAATAAGTATTTGTCACATACACGTTTTATTTACTTTTGTGAATAGGCTCTCCTTTTCAGGGCGTAGTTATTAGTGTATATATGTGTGTGTGTGTGTGTGTGTGTATATATATATATATATATATATATATATATATATATATATATATATATATATATATATATATATATATATATCCTTTTACCTGACTATGTACTGAGCTTCATTTATTCTTTTCTTGGTACCTTTCACTGATTATTCTGGAATAACAAAGCGCTAATTTTTTTTTTTTTTGAAGATTCAGTGATTGGCATGTTCTGTGAACCATCTCTCAAGTAATAATTGGCTCACACAGACATTTGACAGGAGCTATTTGGCAGATAATTGAACATTGAAGTAATTAGTGCATGTCTGGAGGGCATATATTCTACGCCATTTGTGATGAAAAGAATGATAATTATTGAATACCTTTGTGCAGGATACTCTTCCGCAAGATTATTAATACCTTCCTCATATTCAAGGTGGTTGGCCCAAACTGGACCTAAGAGCTTAAGAGTTTTTGTGGTTGTGGGGCACCTGGGTGCCTCATTCAGTTAAGCGTCGGACTTCAGCTCAGGTCATGATCTCTCGGCTCGTGACTTCGAGCCCCTCGTCAGGCTCTGCGCTGACAGCTCAGAGCCTGGAGCCTGCTTCGGATTCTGTGACTCCCTCTCTCTCTGCTCCTCCCTGGCTTGCACTCTGTCTCTCTCTCTCTCAAAAGTAAATAAACGTTTTTAAAAAAAATTTTTTAAAAGAGATTTTATGCTTGTTAGTGTGGAGTAGGGGGTTAGACCGTTGAAGTTTGAATTCCAGCTCAGTCACTTAGGACTGGCCGTGGGATCTTTAGGCAGATTGTTTAATCCCTCTGAGCTCAGTTTCCTCATATATAAAATAGTGATAATTGTACCTATCTCATATTATTGGGAGGATTAAATTAATGGAGGTAAGGCACTTAGTGCTCAGTTGGTATAAGTTAGTTTTGTTGAGGTTAGCACTGACATTATGATTTTTACCACGTAGGGTCGCAGTGCTGGATTTCCAGTCTAGGGCCATCTGAGTTTCTTCTGGGCTGCTTTCATGCCTGCACTGGTTTTATGATGCTGTGTAGTGGAGTTCTGGGGGCTCTGTGAAGCCATCTGAGAGAAAAGTTACCTGGGAATGGGGTCCGGTTCCGTGCTTGCTCCTGGTCCCCTAGCCAGAGTGACTTTGCCCTCTTCTCTCTCAGACGCACGAGACTTCCAAGTGAGGGTTCCTCTGCTGAAAGGGTGGCAGCTAAGAGAAAGTTTGAAAACCGTGGAATCACATCATGACGCCACAAATCCTGCAGAAATGACATTTCTCTGTGAACATTTAAATCGTCCTTTCTGTATTTCTATTCACCTGTTAATTTGAAGTCGAATGGCGTCAAGGGATGCCAACACTACCAAAACACAATTGCTTTTGCATCCATTGAGGTGCTCAAATGAGCACCCAAGGACTGTTCTCTCACTTTCTGAAAACACAATTACCACTTTATTTCAATGGAAGAAACTTTTGTAGGCTTCTTGCACACCCCATTTCGCAAGCATTTATGCAAAAACAACATGGATTCCTCCTAAAAGGACAGTTCCTTCAACAATGATGATTCTTAGGCACAACACTATATGACAAGAGATTTCCCTTTATTAATTACTCTGGAGTATGCTAGGCTCAGGTTCACTTTCCAAAACTCCTTCCTAGAAGAGTACACTTAGGGCATGTGATCTCAGTATTAATGTAAGTAGGTCTTTAATGGGGAAAAAAGACTATTCTCCTTCCTCCAAATCAATGTAAACAATGCAAACACCATAGGAGATTATCACTCCTGTAAACAACCAGGCCAGAAATACCCTGAGAGGACATCCTGATGCACAAGTGTCAAATTTACTTGTCTCCGAGCCACGGTGTGGTGACCCTTATCTCAGGGCACTTGGTGGCTCTGGAGGTGTGAGGAAAAGAAATCCCTTGCCAGCAGAAACAGGACCATTAAATGAAACTCCTTATATGGTTGAATTTTTGAAACCCAAATGGGTGTTTCCTGGGTATGACTGGGCTTGATTGGAGCCCTAAAATTCTGTGCCAGAAAGTTGGAAGGAGGTGACTGAAAGACCCCAGAACCCTTGTTAAAAATGATGTTTCTAGTACAAAAGACCACTGTTGTAGCTTCCGGTACAATGTTAACCTTTGCTCTTGCTCCTGATTAATCCCTGTGATTCGGCCCACAAATAATACTATA